TGCAGTGGGGAGGGGGTGGAACCTGGAGCCTCGAACACGAAGACAAACCCAGCTCTACTGTTGTGTTTCCTATCAGCTGTTCGGCCTGCTTAGAGCTTCCTGTCTCTGGCCTTCAGTGGCTTTTCCATGTGTGATTTCCTTGGCCAAGCAGGTGCACTTGAGGGTGATCCGTACTGCTGTGTGTCTGTGGAGTTGGGGCCTTTCATTGCTGAACTGTGTTGTTGTAAGTGCCACCCCATCCTTGGTCGGTGCATGGCTGAGCAGGGCTCCAGGCAAGGGAATGACCAGAGCTTGCTGGGGCTAGCCCTTTAGAACTGAGTTGAAGTTACTTCCTTGTTACTCAGGTAGGAAGACTGAGGTTGAGAAAGGAGCAGTTTACTGATCCTGACTAGAAAGAAAGCCAGGGCTCCCAGTGTTTCTCCTCCTCCCACCAACCCCTCCCAGCAGGACCCACAACGGGCTGGGAACTAGGCCAGGCCCTGAGCTGGCCAGGGATTCAGAGGGGGGAAATGGGAGTGAGCAGGAGTTTCGGTCAGGCCTCGGTCATCTTTGATGTTGCTCTGGTCTGACTCCCCCGGTATTTATTTGCAATTAAAGAGATGGTTCCTAATTAGGCTGGTGGCTGTGGGAGATGACAGGACCAGAGCTCTGGAGCCCCAGAGAGAAAAGGTTCTTTCTATGAGACACTAGCCCCGGTGAGGAGAGAAGGGCCGTGTGGGCTCATGGGTACAGCCTGCCCGCTCACGGTCGCTGAGGCACACTGGTTTATGGCTGACACGTCTCCACAAAACCGAGTTCTTGGGAGCTGTGGGTGTGAGCACAGAGCCACAGCCAGTTCATTCTAGCCATTCAGTTTTCTTTCCTTACAGGGCAGGTCTGTCACCACGGGTGTCAGACCAGGACCTAACCAAGGTGCCTCATAGAGTGTAAAAAGGGCTCTGCCACCCACTGTCCTCCTGAAGCCCCTCTGAGTACCCTTGCCTGGGTTGTTCCCACGGGCCCAGAGCCAGTGAGCAAAATGATTGTCTTTTTCTACACCTGCTTGATTTACTGTTTGAGTTTCTAGCAAGTCCACCAGGACCTCCTGTGAGCAGAACCCTCGGTGATTGATAAGTCTCCAGTAGGGGGTGGGGGGGTGGCTTGCTGGTGGTTGCACAGCTAGTCCCGTGGCTGCAGCCTTTGTCCTATGTCATTCAAAGTGTTTGATTCATTCAAGGATCTTAGGTCCTGGCCCCAGTTTTGCTACTCTCTGCTTCATATCATCAGGCAATCACTCTACACCCCACCCACTCCCCCACCCCCTGCAGCCCGGGTGCCACCTTCCAGGTATAGATTGCACTTGCAGAACCCACAAGCCCGCTCGAGACCAAGTTTTCCTTAGTTCATGGAGGGAAAAAAAGAATTAGAAAATAAGTACCCATAGGACGAAATAAAGCAGAGATAAGAAATAAGTTCTGTGCCATTGCGCCTCACCCCATTTCCCTCTTAAAGTGTGGCGTGGGTTTGGGGTGTTACTCAGTGGTAGAGCTCTTGCCTAGCATGCCTAAGGTCCCGGGTTCATCCCTCTCTCCACAGTATATACATACACACACACACACACACACACCCCTTTCTAGGGGCACCTTGGTATCTCCACCAGATGAGAGGATTCTGAGGAACTCTGAGACTCAGGGCAGGGGTCACTCTCAGGGTCCGGGCCCACTACCCTTCGCTGCCCTCAAACCTAAGGCTGAACTCACCTTCAGGGCGGGCTTCCATGAACTAGGCACATGACACTTATGATGTGCTTTGTTTATTTCCTTCCTCTGCCTCAGTGTGCTCACAGCGTCGTAAGGATGGGGGAGGAGGACCCAGAGAGGCCATGAGAGATTTCTCTGCTCATATGTAGATGTAGGGAGTCTGAGGAGTAGGCCATCCCCAGAGTCACCGACCCAAGCAGGCCCTTTGTCCGGGACCGGAGGATGCTGGGGTTAAAGTTGGAGAGGGTGGTCAAAGAGGGCCCTACAGGGCAGCAGGCTGGCTACCTTCTGGAATTTGGAAGCCAGTTAACTTAAGAGCCGCAGAGGGTGGGGATGGGTCCAGCACGGGCATCCAGAGTCAGACAGCTGGAGCTGTTCACCCCAGCTCATAAGGTAACCAACCACTCCTGTGTAGGATCCTGTGGCCAGGCTAGCGATCAGGGCAGGGAGCTGAGAGAAACAGCAAGTTCAGCTGGACTTGAGTTGCAAAGCCTTTGAGAAGCTGGCAAGGAGAAAGTATCTCCCCCGACTCCACCCCCACATCCCCCTGCATGCGCCCCCTGGCACATTCCCTCCTTTACGAGAAGCTGGACACGGTGCTACATTGTACCCAGTAATAAGAGAAGCTGGACACGGTGCTACATTGTACCCAGTAATAATCCGTTCCCTCAGTCAGCAAGGGAAGCAAGTGCCTACAGGACTCACAGGCCCTTAGATCAGTTGCCATTACAGATAGGGAAACTGAGGCTTACAGAAGGGAAGTGACTTTTTAAGGAAGAGCCTGCCTGGCAGACATTCTGCCTAGAGCAGCCATTGAAACTCCTTTGGCAAACCTCTGTCTTCAAAAATATTGACATTACGATTCATAACAGTAGCAAAATTACATTCATGAAGTAGCAATGAAAATTTATGCTGGGGGGGGCGAGGTCATCACAACTGGAGGAACTGTATTAAAGGGTCACAGCTTTAGGTAGGTTGAGAACCACTGGCCTAGAGGATGGAGAAGAGTGCCCTCTAGCGGGTTGACTTGGGGTCTGGGTGTAGCTCAGCGGGAGATTTCTTGCTTGACTTGTGCCGGCTACCCTGCATGTTATCACTGGCATCACACGCACGAGGTGTGCCCTCAGTGAGGCTGGCTCCAGATTCTGGGCTGCACAACCTGGGATTCAGTTTCCTCACCTATGAAGGCAGTGCGTACCTCATAGTAGGTGCCCAGAGATGCCTGGTACCCACCCTGGCTCTGCTCCCAGCATACTCAGGCTCCTACACTTAGCTTCTTGACCTCACTTGGTCTAGCTCACTAGAGGAAATCCCGCTGTCTGTGAGCAGTACCGGAAGCTCATGGCCACTAAGCATAGCCCTGTTTTTCTGGTCCTTGAGTTTCCCAGGCCTGTGCCAGACTGATGGGTACAGAGAGGAACAGTGGCTTGGCAGGATGGAGTTCTGGATCGTTCTGATCCTGGTCACCTGCCATGGACTCGAGCTATCTAAGTCTACTTGCCAAGGACACTTAGTTGACGGTAGCCAGGATCTCCTTGTTGTCCCCTGCTCCCCTTTTACCCAGCTTTTAGCTGGTGTGAAGATTGACTGCCCTCAGCAGACGGAGGAACCTGACTGGCACCTGAATGGCAAATGGCAAAGAGCCTGTTCATAGGGTCCTTGTGCAGCCCAAGGTGGCAGCCTACGGAAGGCCTCTTGGGGCAGCTTCCTGCTAGGAGTCAGGCAGCCTTGAATGGGTGAAAAGGTGTCCCAGAGCCCAGGGCTGAGAATTAGGACTTGAGCGGACGCTGAAGAGTTGACCCCATGGTCCCAGTGATGATTGCTCACCTGGGCTTAGGTTGCGTGTTGGTCAGTTTCCCTGGGAAGAGTTGGGTAAATGTTTGGTTCCGTGTTCAGAAGGCCCTGGCCAGAAGCGGGCACGGCAGGTCATGTCACCTCGCTGGGTAGTCATGGTGCCCGCTTGCCTCTCAGAGCTGTGAGCCCAAAGCAAAGACAGGCTACCAGAGGCTTTGGCACCTGAAGTGTGCCACACCCAAGGGCTTGGGATCTGGGACTGCCTTCCAAGACAGACCTGCCTGCATGAGGTCCTCACGCGTGCAGAAATCTCCCACTTTGACTGGGGGCAGCGTTTCAAGGCCGCCTGAATAGCACAGGCCACTGCTGTGCTGTGTGTACAGTGGGAAAGCTAAGGCTCAGAGAGGAGCTGCACACACCTCAGAAATGACACATTCATTGGAGAGCAAGGCCCACTTTTTAGAATAGCACTTAGCAACCTCCAAGTGATGCTGCTCAGAAGTGGCTGTGGTTCTCGGAGAACTGGAAAGCCAACTTGGTAAGGACCGCAGGGAGACTGAGGCAGGCAGGGAGTGTCAGCATCGTTCTTTGCGGGGGGGGGGGATGGGGGCCTCAATCTGTTGCCCAAGCTGGTTTGGACCATTCTGCATCTTCCACCTCCTAGGACTTAGGACAGCAAAGTATGCAACCATGCCTTACTCTAAGAGATCCCTACCTTAATTACCCCTGTCCTATGCTGGAGGCCCCCTGAGGAGCTCTACTGGGGTGGAGTATTGGACTGAGGGGTTCGAATCACATCCTGGTGGGCCTCTGTGCACCTTGGGCAGCCCCTGGTGGCCTTAGAAACAGGGTCTTATAAGATTGCTACTCTCCCTTGGTAGATTATAGGTTCTATTTGTGTTGGTTGGTGTTTATCTCTCCTAGATGTAAAATTATAGTGGGCAGAAGCTGGATGTGGTTCCTATCTGTGTACCCCAGGGTCTAGCACACAGTAGGCATCATGGTTTGCATACTGTAAGTTCATCGTGGGGAGGAGGGGAGCACACTGCTCAGTTGGTAAAGATGCTTGCTACCTAGCTGGAAGAACTGAGCTTGATTCCCACCACATATAAATACAGACAGACACAGATGTCTTGGTTTTTTTCTTTTTTTTTCTCCCCACCAAGACTGGGTTTCTCTGTGTAACAGCCCCAGCTGTCCTGGAACTAGCTCTGTAGACCCAGGCTGGCCTCGAATTCACAGAGATCCACCTGCCTCTGCCTCCAGAGTGTGTGAGCCACCACCACCTAGCAATTTTTATTATTTTAAAGAGAGATAAATCCCCACAGTGTGATCAATTATTTGACGGTCTGGCACACAGTGACCTGATTGGTACACATATGCTGGTTGTCCTTGGAAAACCTTGCCTAGCCTCCCCTAGCTTCCGCACCCGCCGTAACCTTGCCATTTCCTGTGCTTCCCCTGCAGATGCAAGCATGTCTCCAGATGCCACCAAGCCGAGCCACTGGTGCAGCGTGGCTTACTGGGAGCACCGGACGCGCGTGGGCCGCCTCTATGCGGTGTACGACCAGGCCGTCAGCATCTTCTACGACCTACCTCAGGGCAGCGGCTTCTGCCTGGGCCAGCTCAACCTGGAACAGCGCAGTGAGTCGGTGCGGCGCACACGCAGCAAGATCGGCTTCGGCATCCTGCTCAGCAAGGAGCCAGACGGTGTGTGGGCCTACAACCGGGGCGAGCACCCCATCTTCGTTAACTCCCCCACGCTGGATGCGCCCGGAGGCCGCGCCCTGGTCGTGCGCAAGGTGCCACCGGGCTACTCCATCAAGGTGTTCGACTTTGAGCGCTCAGGGCTGTTGCAGCACGCAGATGCCGCCCATGGCCCCTACGACCCACACAGCGTGCGCATCAGCTTCGCCAAGGGCTGGGGACCCTGCTACTCACGACAGTTCATCACCTCCTGCCCCTGTTGGCTGGAGATCCTCCTCAACAACCACAGATAGCATCGAGGCTGCCACTGCGCTGCAGCGTCCCCCCACCTCCGGGGGTCAGCGCCCAGAGACGCCCCCCCAGGGACAACCTCGCCCTCCCCCCAGATATCATCTACCTAGATTTAATATAAAGTTTTATATATTATATGGAAATATATATTATACTTGTAATTATGGAGTCATTTTTACAACGTAATTATTTATATATGGTGCAATGTGTGTATATGGAGAAACAAGAAAGACGCACTTTGGCTTGTAATTCTTTCAATACAGATATATTTTTTTCTTTCTTTCCCTCTTTCCTTTTTTAAAGAAAATTATACAGCAGAACTAGGTGGAAAACCTGGGTTTGGTGTATGGTTTTTTTAAACTATTAATGCCCAGACAAAACTAATACCAGTCACTCTTGATAATAAAGTATTTGCATTATAGCTTTTTTTTTTTTTTAAGCTATCTTTCTTGCAAAGAGGAAAACTTCAGGACTTCAGTAGGCCTTGGAGCCATCGGGGACATGGTTTCAGTGCGTACTGGATTTGGAGCAGAGGGAGTCAACTGAAAAGGGAGCTGTTCGGATGTGGCCGCACACGCCTGTAATCCCAGTCCTTGAGAAGTGGAGGCAGGAGGATCTGTACTTGAAGGCTGTCGGCAGCTAAGTAGGAGTTCTAGGCTGCAGAACAAAGGAAAGAAGGGGGAAAGAAAAGGAGAGAGGATTTGTTTGTGCATAAGAACCAAGCTGGGGTTTGTTCCTCCTTGTCCAGGCTGCTGGGGCGTGTCCACTGAGTGCTGGAGGGGGTGGGAGAGGGAGAGGGAGAGAGGAAGAGAGAGAGAGAGAGAGAGAGAGAGAGAGAGAGAGAATACAGGCCTGTCTGATAGCAGAGGTTCCTTCCTGGTCTGGTCTGACAGGAGAGGCTCAGGTCCCTCTCAGAGCTCTGAACAAATTAGAAAACACCATCTCACCACAGTCTGAGGAAGAAGGATGGAGACCTACTTCCCATCTTGAGCCCTGGAGTAGGGCTTCTTAGCCCTACCTTGATAGTGTCTACCTTGATAGGGGACACACACACACATACACACACACACACACACACACTTAAAATCTGCCACATGAGCTGTGTTAAAGGTATATGAAAGGTAGAGAGGATGGGTTCTGATTCATTAATGGGGCATTTTGAATCAGTTGGGCAAGTTGGTGGTTGGACGGCCCATCACACTGTAGGAGCAGAGAGTATGAGGGCAGTTTTCCGGGGGCTATCCTCACAGAAGGGCTCCGTGTCTTCTCTTGGAGACTTACATGGACATGCGGAGCTCCGAGGAGTCTGTAAATTAGTCCACCGCAGCAGTTTAAGTTGCCACTATTTCTTCTTGCCCGCGATTGCCGTGGCAGGAGCCAGGTGCTTCTGGCGGCTGTGCAGAGCTTATGTCAAGCTAGGCATCTGTCTGTGGCGGCCTCAGGCTAACTGAGCTGAAAGCTCTGCTCCGGGTCCACTCACAGGGTCACTTCCTCACCGAAAAGTCCAGCCCTCAGAGTTCTTATGACAAGGCTTTCCCAGAGCAAGGCGTTCACGGGACTGACCAAGCTGGAAGCTACCGAATTCCACAATCACATCAGCTCTGCTGCCTTCTGATGATCCGTGTGAGCCCTTTCTATCCCCACGTGTGGTGGCCTTCAAGAGAGTGCAGGTGGACAGGGCAGGTGATAGGAATCACAGATCATTTAACTTCGTTTCCCAATGTAATTTACCCATCGACTGTCCCCACCTCTGGTGATCCTGTCCCCATGCCAAAGATCACTGGTGTCCCTGGGCTAACCATAGTTGATCCTTCCAGGGCCTCCCCACTGAGACCCCCCATCCTTAAGACACTAGTCTCTCCCTCGTGTGCTGTCAGGACCTGATTCTTAGTGTAGGGTCTGGGCTGCTACAGGCCGTGAGTGAGTCCAGGAATAAGTTATATAGGGTGCTGAAGTAAAGTTGAACACTTCTGGGATCTCTACCTCATGGGACAAATGCCAAGATAGCAATGGGGGTGGAGCCGAGGATGTGGAGTGGGGGATATGGGGGAGCAGGGAAGGAGTGTTTTCATAGGTTTGTGCTCTGAAGAAAGGCCCCTAACTCAGAACCAGTGTCACTAAGACAGCCAAACCGAGGAAAGGAGGCTGGGGACCCTCATCACTGGAATAAAGCACCAGGCTGATGCTCCACAGGCAGTGGAAGGTGGGCTGGGTTCTAAATGGACCCATGAAGCAACCAACACTGGGCTTTCTTTAAATTTATTTATGTATTTATCTTTGTGTGTATGAGTCTGTGTGTGTGTGCCCTGACATCCACGGAGAAGAGGTCAGAGGTCAATTTGCAGGAGTAGGTTGACTCCTTCCATCAGATGAGTTCCAGTGATCAAACTCAGGTCATCAGACCTGCAGCAAATGCCATCTTGTTGACCCTGAGATGAACCTCTTAAAGACCATTGGTAAGGGACCCAGCTGGAGGAGGGGACTGAACCCAGCTGAGCCCATAGCTGCCTTTTCCTTTCAAAGGACATTCATTCGTTCGTTCGTTCGTTTGTTTTGTGTATGTGCACAGGTGGAGGCCTGAGAAGTCTCCTATCACTGTGTGGGTTCCAGGTCCTTAGACTGGCCACCTGTGTCGTTACCAGCTTAGCTAGCTCACTTGTCCTGTGACTGCCTTTGCACCTAAGGGCCTGAGCTCTGCTCCAGCCCCTCAAGTTACAGGTCAGGGTGCTGGGTCCCTGGAGATGGTCGAGTTGCTAGTCGGCCATCTTGGGCAGCAGCTGCCTTCAACCCAGTACCCGGCAGTGACATCCTAGTTACCCCCCAGACCACCCAAGATCTGGTGACTCATGCTCCAAAGAGATGCTTCTAAACAAAGCCCGAGTCCTTGGAGAATGCTGAGAGCCTGGTCCCTGTTAGCCCTAGAAAAAGAGGTAGGTGGGATTTACTGTCCCCAAACAGATGCTCGGGCAGCTTATGCCCCAAGGGGACACCTGAAATGGACTAAGGTTTTGAAGGAGAGCTAATACCACTGGGCTCTTTCAGTTCGGCACACCACCCCCATCTCTGCCTCTGCCTTTGTCTTTGGGAATATTTGAGGGTTAGGGTTCAACCACCGATTTGGGAAAAGCAGGCTAATGGGGAATGGTGGCCTGAGTAGTACTTTGTGCTCATGCCTCTAAGTGAGGTTCAGAGAGGGAGTCTGAGTGCCTGAAGTCACACAGCATGTGCACACTTTATTTCTCTCTAGGGAGCTGCTGGTCCTGCAAACCTCTTCGTCTCTGACCCAGCCTTCCTCCACCCTACAGTCTCCTACCCCACACATGGCAGAGGCCTAAACACTCCAGTGCAGGCTGGGCGGTGGTGGCACGTGCCTTTAATCACAGCACTTGGAAAGCAGACGAAGGAGGATCTCTGTGAGTTCGAGGCCAGCCTGGTCTACGGAGCAAGTTCCAGGACAGAATCCAAAGCTACACAGAGAAATCCTATCTCAAAACAAAACAAAACAATAAAGCCAAAAAACCAAAACTCCAGCTGTCTCTGGCTGTAACTGCCTTATTCTAAGTGACCATGGGCAAGTGACTTACTTGCCACCTCTTTTTTGGCTCCCTCATCTGTAAAGGTGGGCTTGACTAGGACTGGGAACTCTAAGAGCATGTGAATTCATGCTGGTGGCACTCAGAACCAGCACACATTGAGGATTCAGTGACATTACCAGGGGACCCAAATGGCAGCCCAAGAGGGTTGGACTGGGTTTGGATACTCAGCAAGTGGGAGGACTTGAAGCTAGATCTGTCACTTTCTGGCGATCCTGGCCAGTCGCCTGCCACCTGATGTGCCTAGTCGTGGCCGCCCAAGCCCCTCTGCTTCTCACTCCAATCCGTCTCTACCCAGAATGCTATCCATTAACAAGTGGGAGTGTGCATTCTCCGTGGTGCAAGGCCGCCTTCCTGTCCCTAAGGATGGAGGTCAGCCTTTAGAGTGTCAGTGGCTCAGAGGTGATGGTGGAGGGAACCTGGCACTGCCTGACTCTACCCGGGTCCCTCATCTCCCATTCACCAGCTTCCTCCTCTTCAGGCTCTGTCTGATCTGTCATCTCTCCAGCTAGCCTGCTCCAACCATATTCTCACCATCATGCCTCTAAGCATCTCCCTTCCCCCAGGGCTCTGCGCTAGCCCAGTCTTGGGCACAGGGGACAGACCTAGGATGTTTGTAGAATGAAAGGGTCACAGAGAGCAGGGATGTGGGTGTATTCTATAAACTCTAAGGGACCAGGAAGGCCTCCAGAGGGGTGTGTTTATTAGGATGGTGTGACAACCCCCAGCTGGCTTTTCTCATAGTCACCAAGACTACTCACCCTGCCTGAGGCTCAGGGACTCAGGACCTGCAGCCTTATTTTATCTTAGATGGTCATGGAGATGGGAGGTCCATTGGGTGATGTAGAAGGCAGGCTGGGGCACTTCAGTGCTGGGAAATTCCCAGAGTGCCTCTAATTCTATTCCCATAACGGAACTAAGGACCAGAGAGGGTGAAGTGCTCACTGGGGCCACACAGGAAGCCAAATCTGGATCACCTTCAGTTGAGGCCAGCACCAAGAGAAACTTTGGAGAGGCAAGGAAGACAGGTGGTTGGGGTTTTATTCTGGTAAAATATATGTAACAGAACTTATGTGTGTGTGTGTGTGTGTGCATGCACATGTATATGCATGTGTGTACACATATTTGTGTGCATTTGTGCATTGTGAGGATGTGCCTGCATGTGTGCATACATCCCTGTGTGTGTGCACTTGTGCAGGCAGGTGCGCATACATACTGTATTTGTGGAGGTCAGAGGTCAATCTCAGGTGTCATTTCTCAGGAACCATCCACTTGGTTTTTGAATTAAGTTAACTATCATTGTGTTTGTGTGTGTGTGTGTGTGTGTGTGTGTGTGTGTGTGTGTGTGTGCGCGCGCACTTATGCTTGCCATGGAGGGTACATGGAGGTCAGAGGACAACACCATGGAGTCGGTTCTTGGCTCTGAGAATGAAAACTTAGGTTATCGGGCTTGCACAGCAGGTACTTTTCCACGTTGAACAATCCCACCTGGGTTTCTGGTTGGTTTTGTTTGTTGGGTCAACATGGCATAAGCTAGAGTCATCTGGGAAGAGGAAACTTCAGTTACGAAAATACCTCCGTCAGTTGGCCTGTGGGCAAACCTGTGAACACTCTCTTAATTGATGTGGAAGGGCCCAACCCAGTGCGGATAATGTAATCCATGAGCAGGTGGTCCTGGTATAAGAAAGGTAACTGAGCCAGGCATGGTGGTGCACACCTTAAATCCCTTCACTCTGGAGGCAGAGGTAGGTGCATCTCTGTGAGTTCAAGGTCAGCCTGGTCAACAAATTCTAAAACAGCCAAAGTTACACAGAGAAACTGTGTGTGT